CAAAGGACTTGTTGGGGATGGTGGGTGAAACAGTTTTCACCTTTGCAGTGACAGATGCAGATAACAGGGCTCGATCCCTACACCACCCTGAAACCGTGTACAGTACACTTTGCCCCACCAGTTTTTGAACCCGTGACCAGCCCCTAGAGTTGCCTGTAAAAGGCTGTCGTAGATTTGAGGACTGAGTAGGATTTGAACTGCTTAACTGTAGAGTAGGAGTCGATGTCTGAGTTGGTAGTAGCTGCTGTAGGTCCGAACGTTCAACCTCAGTCGTAGCTGCTACAGTACCGAAAAGGTAAGTAGAAGGTCTAGAGCTTTCCAGGACTGACCCTTTGAGAGTCTTAGAAGGAGTCCGTAGGCAAGCAAGTGCACAAGTGGGCAAGTGGGTAGACTTACCAAGTCTAGTCAGCGGTACCAGTCCCAGTCACACCCTGTCCAGTCAGCAAGTACCATGTGGGAACGTATGTACCATGGGCCCGGTGGAAAGGAGCAGACCAGTAGCCAACAGAAGTATAAATCAAGAGGCAGCGTCCAGCCATTCATTCATTGCTGCGTGAGCCATGCGGAAGCGCTGCCTAGGCGTCTTATGCGAGGTGGTCTGCAGATGCCCGAGATCGAAGTGGGCTGAGGAAGAAGATTGAGTGTCCATAGTCAGTAGTAGTGAGCGGCCATAGCCGCCATAAGTTAGAGATAGTGTTTTAGCGAGTGAACGAGTGTGTGTGAAGTACAGAGTGAGTGCGTGTGGGGTATCCAGGGAGATTCGGAGTTAAGTGTGTGTGAACAGTTGATTGTAAACACTGAGTTGATGTGTGAAGAGAAGGCGCTCAGTCGCCATAGCCATTCTGAAGCAAGTTTGTATCTGAATCGTGTGGCGCCCAGCGCCAGTGTGTTTTTGCCATCTGTTGCATGATTGCGAAGTGAGAAGACAGTGAGTCTGGTTGCAGTGGGTGACAGCTCGAGTGGCGGCGGCAATCTTCAGTGGAAGGGGAAGTGTTCGGATGAGTCTTCTTCGCAGGACAGAAGCGGTAAGGATTATATTGCCAAGGACTCAGATTCCGAGTTGGGAGAGGAGCCAGCAGTCTCGGGCACCACATGCATTGATAGGACGACTCGATGACCAGCGAGGGGGCTTCAGGTGACGGCAGAGGAGCCCGAGAGCAAGTGGACACTGACATCAAGTTCTTGCAGCATACTGGGGTGTTTATAGATTGAGGAGGCAATGGCCAATAGAGACCAGGATACTGTCGAAATGCGCATGTGTGAGAAGGCCTGTTGTACAGCAGTTGCAAGCCGGAGAGGGAGAGAGAGAGACGCAGCGAACAGGTGGGGCAGCAGCAGGACCAGCAGACAGATCATCCAATACCTCATGTGCATGACGGAGTTGAGGAAGCGAATGCGCAGCAAGAGGAAATGTGGAGCAGGAGGAAGCTAATATGCAGGAAGAAGAGGAGAATGTGCAGGAGCAGCAGCGTGAGCAGGTGGAAGAGCAGCAGCCTGCAGCAGTAATGTTCTAAGCACGCAAACCCCGCCAAGCTGGGGTGCAGCAGTGGAGCTGCACAGGAGAAGCACCCTGCAGCAGTGGAGGTCCACACCAGGTTCCCATTCCCAGCAATGAACAAGGCTGTCCTGCATGACAACCTCTGGGTCGCCATAGTGGGGAGAAAGAAGAAAGCGCCAGTTGAGGAGGTCACCTCAGGGGCACCTCATTGTCATTCCAGGCCTCGCAAGCCCAAGACTGCAGAGAAGGCCCCAAACCAACAGAAACGCTGTATTGGGAGAGCCTCGCAAGGGCCTGGTAGTTTCAGAGGATGACCCCGATTCACATGACAGTGGGAGAGACAGTCATGCGATGAGAAGGACAGCATCTACAATTGGGATTGAGAGAAAAAGAGCGAGATAGAGAGAGAGATTTTTTAACTACCGAGTTCTAGAGAGAATTGACAGTTGCTGCAGGGTTGCACCCCTGCCGACCGCCGACCCCGACCGCCGACCGTATTGCAGCCGACCAGTAGGGCCGACCGGTCGGCGGTCTGCCGACCAGTCAGAAAACAACCATCCACTGATTTTTTTTCAAATCCGAGTTGAGGGCTGTACTGCGCTTGCTGAGTACAGCCCAAATCCGCTGAGAAACTTTTGGGGCAGGGGCAGAGGGTATGAGGGGGTTGGGGTTGGAGATACCTTCGTTGCAAGTGTGCTGGTCATTGATGCGTGAAAAAAAAATTGAAAAAAAAAAGAAGAAAAAGTGCGGCTGTTATGTGTGAGAACACGCAGGAGAGAGAGAGAGAGAGAGAGAGAGAGAGAGAGAGAGAGAGAGAGAGAGAGAGAGAGAGAGAGAAAGAGAGAGAGAGCAAACAAAGTGCTCCTTAGCATTGATTTGGAAACCCCTGCGGGTTATCCGAGAGGCCCCTGCGCATAGTTACTAAGGGCCATCTCACCATGAGCGAGGTAATGCTCATCGCCATGCTAGAGTGATGGCACGCCAAGTATATATTTCTGTGGATTCACATTAAGGTCCGTGTTTCAGCAGTTATGGGACCACTGAGCACGAAAGTTTCTGGGCAGTAGCAGGCCAGCTTACCACGTGCTTTTCAGGGCTTCCCTCCACTACTCACCAAATGTGCAAAACTAGAATGAATCTTCTGCTAGAACATGGAACCGTACGCCGCCATATGTTTTGTCTTTTGTGGAAGTGGTGACAAGTGGAGCAAGGCTAGGGCCACTGCTCGTAGGAAAAGGAAACAAAAGAAGGAGAGGAATGAATCTTCTGCTAGAACATGAAACCATATGCCGTACGCCGCCATATGTTTTGTCTTTTGTGCAAGTAGTGACGAATGGAGAAAGGCCCTTAGGGCCACTGCTCGTAGGAAAACGAAACAAAAGAAAAAGAGAGCTAAGGTAGTAAGTAGTTGTAACTTGTAACCCATAACTGCTGGAAAGCAGACCTGACTTCTGATCCAGAACATATATTGCTGGCCTGCTCCACTCTCACCCGAAATTTGCTTAACGTCTCTTGAGATGTCAGGAGCCTTGCAGATATACTGCTGGGGTCCTTTGGGAAAAAGATTATTCAATCAGGAATCCGTGCGCCCTACTGGTCGGCTGCAATACCGTCGGCGTTGGAATTGCCAACGTTGGAGACGGCCTTTTGGGAAAAAGATTATTCAACGAGGAATACGCCGACGTTTGTTTTTTCTCTTCTTTTTTTTTTTGCGGGGTGCCGACGATCCCCGACCAGTAGGTGCCGACCAGCCGACCGGTTGGCAGGTCAGCAGCCAACCAGTCAAGGGTCGCCGACGGTCGGGGTGTGCAACACTGAGTTGCTGTTGAAAAAGTTGGATTGTTTTTCCTCTTCTTCTTTGCGTTCCTGTTCTTCTTCCTGTTTCTTGGCATTTGTTTGCTGCTGCTCTATGTTTCCACTGTGCAGAAACAGGCCTCAAATATCCTACTCTCTCCCCACTCACCCCTTCCGCCGCCCCGCCCCCCCCCCCCCCCCCCCCCCCCCCCCCCCCCCCCCCCCCCCCCCCCCCCCCCCCCCTGGCCAAGCCTGGGCAGAACGGGCGGCGGCCCATGACCTGCCAATGAACATTTCAGAGCGTGTACCGTTCAGCAACAAGCCAAGTACAATGCCAAGCACTTTGAGCCTTTTTAACAGAATAATTGATGGCATAGCCATCAAGGTAGGGACGTGGTGCTCACCCTTGCTCGGAACTTTATAACGGAAACTGCAGAGAGCTCTTGATCAGGCATAAGCTGTTTCAGGGCAACCAAGAAGCCAGCCACAACTCCATGGAAACCCGAAATCTTATCATACCTGTGTCATTTGCCAAGAGACAATGAAGATGAAAGCAGACCAACAAATATTCGAGACCATGGAGTGGAGTAAGCCGACAATCCTTTACCCCTATCCATTGCGCAAGATTACAACAATGCACAAATCACAACCAGCAAACGCGAGCTGCTTCCCATCTTGAGCTTGCCTTCACAGCTGAACTCATAGGGTTTCCAAATTTCACCTCACACACCAGTGTTTTAACTTATAACCTAAAGAAACTCATCACCAGTCCTTAACATTTGTTGTTCCCTCCTCCTGAATAGGAAGTACACTGCACAGGCATTACGAATTTACAACCCACGTGAAAGCAAATTGTGAGGAATGAGCCCTCAAGGGGCCCTATCAGACAGCACATGTTCTGGGCTAAGGCCCCAGCAAGCCGACTGCCCTCCCTAAGTGAAGGCGGGCCTGAATATTCGTCGAAGGCCAAATTTCAACATTTCCATATGTGGGTATTCAGGCTCTCGCAGCACGCCAGTTGGTTGGGTAGACGCGTGAGCCTCACTAAGCTGCGTCATACAGTTGGCCCAGGCCTTGACAGTCGCGCCTGGGCACATACACACAAAGCAGGGCCAATACATTGGGAAGCAGGCCATCGGCCTTTGGAAAGGTAGGACTGCCGACGCACCTACCTGGGAGTCCCACACAGATGCAGCAAACAGCCCAAGTCCGGAGACGCAGGCCGTGCCCAACTGAAAAGGGCCCAGGCCCTTAACTGTAGTCTCGGGCCTGGGCGCAGGGTCTGAGACCCAACCGGAAGCTACTGGAAGCTTCCAGCCAGGCCGCACGCAGCATCCAGGAGGCTGCCACTTCCATAAAAGAAGCGAGGCAGCCCAGGCCAGGCATTCTAGCCAGGTGCTGCTGCGCTATCGCTTGATGCTGCACTGCTGCCAAGGGGGCTGACGGGGCACATAGTGGTGAAGTGGGGCGCTGCAGGGCAGCGGGGCGCAGGCAGCCATAGCCGGGCCGCTGGGCGCCGGGGAGTAGGAGGGCGATCAGGTGGTCTTCAAGGAAGGAGGCGAGTGTGGGGTAACAAGGTCTGATGAGGGTGACGAGATACATACCTGGTGCATGAAGAGAGGTCGGCTATGGTGTTGACATCATGTACATTGGTCTTCGAGAGTCTTAAGTGAGCCTGTTGTGTGCACACAGCTGTAGGTAGGATGGTAAAGTAGAGAAGGCTGAGGTGCTGGGCGCCAGACAGAGAGGAGCGACTTTGGATACTCTGTTGGTGTGGCCTACGGGCTTCAACATTGGCTCATTACTTCATTGTGTTGCTCTACTTGGATGGATTCTTGGTGATATTGTGCTCTCTGCTTGTACACGACTACTCAGACATCTGTGTGATTTCGCAACTTGGTTTTCTGTGTACCGTTCACACTCATATTCCTTGCAAAATCCTCAACCAGATAAACTGGTGACATTCACACGTATCATTCAGACAAAGACAGCACTTCCACACCTTCCCGAAAAACAAGTGGCCTAATTTCTACCCTGCATAACATCAAACTTCAATATCGTGCATGCCCCTAACTGATTGGCAAACATGTTGAAAAGCATGGGCTTTCAAACAGCAAGCTCACCAGTGAGATTGCCTTTTTCGAAGCTATGTTTTGTTCTCTAGTGCGACAGGCCTACTGTTACATGCTGAGCCTGACACACGGGCCCATTTTCGGGCCCGACGGTTGTTGAGGGCCCCTAGGCCGCGCGCCTGTTCCAAGCACGCGACCTGGAGGCCCACGGCCATTGGACAGGCCGTAGGTACAGATTTGAGGCAGCAGTCATTCATTTATTTATTTATTTATTTATTTACTTATGTGTGCTGCTGTTTGCCAGTTCTATTTTTGTCTGTTTCAGGTGACGTTTCGGACTTGCAGTTCGTCCGAACAGATCTATGATCTGTTCGGACCAAGGCCACGTTTTTGGCCTCCTCCATTCGTGGCCAGGCCCTTTTAGGCAAGGTTCGCTTTTGTCTGGTAGCAGACACTCCCTGCTGCATCAGCAGGGAAGGCCTGGACGTCCGATAGGGACCCAGGCAGGCCGTTTTTAGGCCAGACCCAGGGACAGGACTTTTCCTTGCGACCTGGACCATGGATCGGACCTACGATCTCACAGCCCAGATCGCAGGTCGAGGGTACAGCACCACGGCCCAGCACTACTTATAGCTGGGCCAGCTCCTGGGCAAGGACAGTTCGAGTAGCTCATTCTG